GTTGCAGTCCACTTAAAAAAAAATAATTAATTAAAATCCATTAACATTTCTATTCAAATTTTTTTCGTAAAATCCTATTTCACCCCATTAGGGGCATCGTCCACCTGCTTGGAGCTATATAATATTCCAGAAGGTTCGTTTCTGCAGCTTGTTTCTCTGTTTGTTAGCCCGTTGTTCTGTTACATCTGCAATCTGTAATATTGCCCTTGCTTGTGTGTTGTGTCCTCTAGCAGCGTGTGGTGTTTTATAGTGAAGAGACATATAGTTCGCTTGCGAACTAAAAAATTCACGGAGTGTACATGTTAAGTATCTGAACCAGAACCACAAGATATAAGGAGAAATCGTTCTGAAGTAACTCCAATAAACAAGCAGGGGGCTAGGGATTACTTTTACAGTGTGGTGGTCTTGTGCCATGAATTTTATCTCATAAGACTCGATTGATGCAGTATGTATGGGTTATTCAGTGTGATGTGAGGTCTTTTGGAACTCGTGGAGTACTTAAGGGCCAATTGTGCGCTTTGAACTCTTGCCCCGAAGCCATCAATGAAGACAGGAAAGGACAGCATAAAATTAGAAATATAATTACGTATTGTGTAATTAACTGTAACTGTTACATTTATTTTTTCAGTTAATTGTTAGATAAGAATAATATAACCATACCAGTAGGAAGCGTGATGAGCACTACGCCTAAAAATCTGATATATTATTTTTATATTTTGAGTCGAATATGTGTATATCTAAGTCGGCCAATGTTAAATTAAGGGAAACGAAAATCGTGTCTGTTCTGGTTCAGTACTAGAGGATGGCAGTCGGATCCATGTGGGAAGACATCACGAATAGATGTTGGAACGGAACAGTTTTGTCATTTTGGTTCACTAAACGGATAATAACGAGATTTATGTGAGGGCCCATCCGTAGAGGAGACTTAGCAAAGCTTCAGTAGTAGGCGCATATCGAGACTCGTGTGATAATTTATTCGATGAAAAGACAGCGGAGACAGGGATGAACAAAACTGTATACTATTCTGGTCCATTATGACGTGCCTCTTTTCACTCATAAAATATACCGTAAATCTGACACGTGTTAACGTATGTTGATCTTGAATGTACATGTATATATATATATATATATATATA